GACACCCTCCCTCCGCGACGCCCGGCCGCCGGCGCGCGCAGGAGGCCACGCCCCCACGCTCAGGGCCACGCCCCGCGCACGGAGGCCCCGCCCCACGCACGGCGCGCGGCGCCGGCGTCCACCCGGAGCGGGCGCGCGGCTTCCTCCTTCCGAGCGGTCGGCCTCCTCTGCTCGGGTCCACCAGCTCGGCGGGTGCCTGCCCTTCCAGGAGGACGCCAGGGCACTCGCGACGCCCGCTCCTGGAGCTCGGCTCCCGGCCTCCCCCAGCGCGGGAGTAGCGGCCCGCACGGGGCGGCCCCGGCGGCTGCCGCCCGCGGGCTCCTCTGCAGCCGGGTGCAGCCCTCCCGCGACAGGGTTCCTGTCTTTTGTCCTTCGGGAGCTGGGAATGGGCGGCCTGGCCCGGACAAAGATACTGTAATTATATGTATCGGTATCTGTCTGCGGGTCCCGTATACGTGCAAACGCGAGCGTTTCTGTCGGGGGGATTCGCACTGGGCCTCAGCACATTTAAACATTTCCGGGGCAGATAAGGAGGCGAGAACAAATGAAAGCCCCGGAGTTTTCCCAGGAGTAAGTTCAATGCGCTGTACCATCAGGTAACCTGATGTGAATTCCAGCTCTCTGGCTTATGCCTGTGACCTTCACTAAATTTCTTTACCACCTTGATTTCTTCACCTTTATAATGGGGATAATACTAGCTACTGGTGGCTGATTTGAGTTAAGATACACATTGAAAGACTTTAAGAAAAAGATCTGTATTACTCTAGGGTTGGCTTGTGTTTTTAAAGAGACCATGTTGCCTGTTGACGGCTCGGAATCAGTCCTGCCACAGCCTCCCCAGTAGCTGGGACTGTAGCCATGTGCGACCATGGTCAGGCCCTAGATGACAAGAATTTCAGTATCCATCAGGCTTTGGTACACTGTTGGAGCTAGACTGGAGCAAGTTGGGCCTGAATTTTAAGTCCTCCTTTATTCTGTACTTTACAAAGTGAACACAGCAGCGACATACTCAAAAGTAGCAAATGTGAAAATGCAAGTCATCAACTAGGGAGAAGTAGGTCGGATCCACGCGCTGCATCGTGACCCCGGGAAGGCAGCGGTGGCTGCGCTGAGTCGTGTCATCTCAGCGCCGTGGGCCCAGCTACACACTTAATTCGGGATCCGCAGGAGAGCCAGCTAGCTCCTTGGCAGGCCCTGTGCTCAGAGCCACGGGCCTGCGCTCCTTAGCTCAGGTGCTAGCTCGGAAAGAGCAGGAGGAGTCCCCTACACACCCCCTGCGGTGCAGTCCTGAGTGGCCCTACCTGGACAGCATGTGTTCATGCCGTGACCACAGGTGAAAGGCGGGCCAGGGTCAGCACTTGGTCTTGGAGAAGCCGTAGAGCTAGAAGGCAGGTGATTGTCCTCACGCTCTCCCTGGGCTGCAGCTGCCCCTTGGTGTGTGTCAGCGTGTGGGAGGCATCCGCTGGCAAACAAAACCAAATCCTTGGCATAGTGGTGTCACTGAGGGCTTTCCTTTCTTACTTCAACAGGGGCTGCTAATTGCCATGAAGACAGTGCCGTTTGCGCGGTGTTCACTGCCAGTTTCCTGGCTCCGCCCTTGTCTTCATCTTTTCTAACTCCAAGGCCTGGAAGGCTCTGGCTTCTGCGTCCTCTCCCCCCACCCCAGCTGTGCCTCCTCCCGGTTCCTGACCGCCCGCACAGACCACCTGATCTGGGCACAGCCACACACTCGCGTGTGCACGGTGGCAGGCGCTCCCTCAAGCTCCCAAGTGGCTCCTTTGCATCTTTCAGGTCTGTCCTCTTCAAAGACAAACGTTTGACATTTTCTTTTTCTTTTTTTTTTCCCCGGGTACTGGGGATTGAACTGAGGATCTTGGGTTTTCCAGGCAAGTGCTTATTCTACTGAGCTATCTCCCTGGCCCCTACTCGCTCACTGTGGAGGCCAGGCTGGCCTTGAAATCTCAGCAGTCCTCCTGCCTCAGCCTCCCAAGTGCTGGGATTATAGGCGTGTGCCACCATTCCCACCACTTTTGCTTCCTTGAATAAACTTTGCCACTGCTTTTTGCTCCTTTCATTCAGTTCTTTGTTCAAGTTGAGAATTGAACAAGGGACAGGCAAACAATCCAGACCTGTTTGAATGGTGAGCCACTTTTTAGAAACAAGCCACCTAGTAAACAGGAGGCCTGGGCCGGGGATACAGCTGAGCAGTATAAGAGCCACCGGGCAAGTGCAAGGTCCTGAGTCGAATCCCTGATACCAAAAAAAAATAAAAGGAGGCCTGCTGGGAGTTGTGTCCCTGCTTCCGCACTGGCCTTTATACCAGCCAGGATTTCAGATCCTCTGAAATAATAAGCCAGATAGCCTTTAGGGCGTGGTGGTACACGCCTGAATCCCCGTACCTGGGAGGCAGGAGGATCACCCCGAGTTGTTTCAGGCCAGCCTGGGTGGGCTACACAGTGAAAGCCTTTCTCGAAAGAATGACAGATAGATCCTTTTAAATTAAGACTTCCCGTTTCCCTCAGAGTAAAAAAATGAAGAGTTTACAGCAGTTTGAGGCAAGGAGTGGCATGTTCCTTAAGGAACCAAAACCTCACAATTTTTTGGCCTACGGCTGGGGAGATAGCTCAGTAGAATAAGTGCCTGCCTGGTAAACGCAGGGTCCTGAGTTCAATCCCCAGTACCGCAAAAAAAAAACAAACACACGCACACACACAAAAAACCAATTCTTTGGTCTTGACAACAAACAGCTGCCAGAACCTGCTGCAGTCAGTGTATTCCGGTCTTTCCGTCAGGGACCTGAAGTCTCTCAGCATGAGCAGGTCTAGGTAGTCTAGCTGCTTTTTTATGGCGGAACCAGGGATTGAACTCGGGCCCTTGCGCTTGCCAGGTGAGTGCTTATTCCACTGAGCCATCTCCCGGGCCCCAGTCTAGCTTCTACAGCTGCGGGTCAGCTCATCTGTGAACCACCTCCCATCTAAGCGTCTGCCAGCCGCCCTGAAATCCAGATTTCTTTCTTCAGGGGATTGTGTCTTTTAAGCACAGTCGTCCTTTGCGTAGGTGACACAGTCATCTTGGCGGCCGTGCCTGCGATCCCGGCACAAAGGAGGCGGAGCCAGGGGGGCTGCGGTGAGTGCGGGGCCCCCTGAGCTGACAGTGAGACTTGTCTCACGTATGGCCCCTCCACAAGGGTGACACGCAAATTCGTGACGCATTCCATGTTTTTTGCAAGGAGCAGCGAGACAGCGCAGCGGACTAAGCTTAGGCAAGTGTGGCGATTTGCTCCCTGGCACCGTACACTGCGCCGCTGCCCAGCAGGCATGGAGGCCTGTGCCTGTAATCCCAGCACTGGGGAGACTGAAAATAGGCTCACTGCGATGAGAGTCCCCTGTACCAAATACAGAAAAATAAATAAAATTTAAAAAAAATTTCAATTGTGTTTGTTCCAGCTGTGAGTGGTGGTCTTCTCAGTGGACAAGGGGCCCTCGATCCGTGGCCGACCCTCCCTCTTTGCACTTTCTCTAGCTCACTGTACTCTGCACTCTTGGTTTCTGCCAGGAATTCTGCCTGAGGCCTTTGCGCTCACTTCCTCATCTCCTTCCGGGTGGGTCTCAGGCCAGCCCTGAACACTCACCCAAACGTGGAGGTGGCCTAGTTGCAGTGTCAGCTCCCTCCCCCCACCCCCTTCCTTGCCTTTCCTCCACCACACTTAACACCCTCTGTCTTGTTACTCTCCTGTCACAGGACAAGATACTTGACACCCAAAAGCTAGAGAAGGAGAAGAGCTTTATTTTGGCTCATAGTTTGTGGAGATTTTAGTCCGTATTGGAATGGTGGAGAGATAGCTGCTTGCCTCATGAAGTCCAGGAAGCTGAGGAGGAGAGGAGCAGGGGAAGGGAAAGAAACCTCTCCGGCCTCTGGCACCCGCATCATCTGACCAGATCTCACCTAACAGCAATCAGCTGTGACGCCCCCATTCAATCACCTTCCAACACAAGAGGCTCTGAGGCCTTTTCTAGATGAAACCCGACATTCCACCTCAGCCCCTGAGAGACTCGTGCACATCTCTTTATGTAAAATGCTTGCCACAGTTTCTAACAGTTCCAACACTGCTGAAAATTCCAAGTCCAAAGTCTCCTCTAGGGCTCAAAGGAAACTCTTTGCTGTAAGCCCTGGAAAAAATGGGAAAGTTAAACGTTTCTAACATACAAAGGCACAGGATAATCGCTTCCTTACAAAAGAAAGGAATAGAGGGAAAGAAGCCAAGGAGACAAGCGCAAGTGCAAACCCAGCAAACCCAGCAGGGCGAAGAGTAAACTGCTGGCTCCACGTCCAACCCCCCCCCCCCAGCACCCCAGGCAAGTCAGAGCGGGATGCCAGCTCCCAAGGCCCCTGCTACGGTTCAAGCAGACGGCTAGCGCCCCTGGCTTCTCGCCTCATTCACTCTTTGTAGCTTTCCCCCTTCAGTCCACACTCCTGGCTTCTGCAGCTTTGTGGAGTCCACTACACCTTCAGCTTCACTCTTGCAGTCTCTGGGGACTGAGTCCCCAGGTCGCCCTGGGCTGCTCTTCTGACTACTCACGTGCCCTTAAGCCGTTTTCCCTGCAGTCCTGTTCCAAAGAGCTTGGTTTCTTTTTTCTTTTCCTTTCCTTTTGCTCTCTTTTTAGACAGGGAATCTTTATATAGTGCTGTAGTACAAGTTGGCCATAAAGTAACCCAGTCTGGCCTCTAACTCACAAAGATCCTCCTGCTTCAGCTTCCCAAGTACTGGGATGACAAGCATGGGCCACCACACCCAGCTCCTTGGTTTTTTTGGTTTTTTTTTAATTTTAGTACAGGGTCTACAGGGTCTCACTACATAGATAGGACTCAGACTCATAGTGATCCTCCTGTTTTCAGCCTCCCAAGTGCGGGGATTACAGGCATGCACCACCACGCTTGTTTTTATTCCCCTCAATCACCGACCCGGGGGGCGGGGCCAGCACAGCATGCTGGTGCTTTAATCCGCTAAGCTATTTGGCAGGCCCTCTTGGCTTCTTTTTGATGCTAATCTTTTTATGCCCAATCAGCACACACAAAGATTCTCAGCAGCAGTATGCAAATCAACCTCTCAATGAAGTACCATTTTTATACCCACTAGAATGGCCATAAAATATAGTTAATAAAAAGTGTTATCTGGATATAGTGGCACACACCTGTAATCACAGCACTCAGGAGGCTGAGGCAGGAGGATCGCTGTGAGTTCAAGGCCAGCCTGAGCTACATAATGAATTCAAGGCCAGCCTAAAATGCATATTAAGAACCTATCTCAAAAAAAAAAAAGTGCTGTCATATTGTTGTAGGCAGCTGAATTAAAAATATTATAGGCAGTCAGACAGGGGCAGGCCGGCAAGGAAACAAGATGGAAGACAAGGTGACTTTGCAACTGGGAAGAGACAGACACTCCCATATGGGCCACATCTCAAGAGCAAGACAAAAAGAGCAAGCACAGCTACATCCTTCCCTAGAGATGGGCATCAGGGATTGATATCCTAAGTAGTATCAATCACCTTGAAAGAGCCCACATGAGTCACCAGCCCAACCCCCAACAGGAAGAGACCCTGTTCCCTATTCGTGCCCACTTGCTACATGACTCGCTTCCCCATTTGGTCCTGGATTTAATCAGTTTTACCTGAGCAGTGGTGCTTGTAATCTCATTGGTTGACCATAGCTTTGTCCCACCTCATGCCCATCTAAGGGAGATCCCATGTCTTCTCCACCAACTTGGAACCCTCTTCATCACATTGTTATCCTATGTAAAAGTCCCTGGAAGAGACAGCTTCCCGGGGACAACCTGCTCAGGCACCCCTCTGTTATAGCCAGTGCAATTGATTCCAATTTTGTAACTCTGTATGCTTCCACTAAAACTTTATTAACTGTTATAACCTGACGTATGTGCCGCCATCTTGTTCTGTACGCGCCATTCTAAATGCTGTAACTTTCTACTGTGCCTTTTCTCTACTTGAGAACCTGCAGTTGGGCCTTTCTCACGCTGCCCTTTTGTGTGCACCTGAATCTAGTTTCGGCCCAATGCCCTGATCTCGCCCTCGTTCCCAGCTACAAACTGTACCCACCACTGCACTTGTTATTGTTCATTAGAAACAGGTAATTTTTCAACTGCAGCCCCAAGATAAACCCTTGATGTCAGCATTTATGGTTTATTGGCTTACATACCCACTCCATTTTGTAACCAGAATGGGCATTGTATTATACATTTCTGTACATGTCCACTGTAACTTTATTAATGAGGATTGTTCGGTATAAGCTGACAACTTAAACTCCATTTTGGTGGCTCAAGCCATTCATCGGACCTCTGAACACAGTTTCTTAATGTTCAAACCATTCCTTTGTTCTAAACCACAGTGTGTCAAAGGTTGAGATCTGAACTATTTTTATCCCAGAGCACTCCACACAATATGTCCTGTGATCAACACCGAACCATAAATTGTAATTATTTGTTCCTAAAAATTGTATGTAATCTATTTTCCCGAAAGTGGACGCTGACTCCTGTGCTGCATTCCCTTGCACTCAAATCATAAGACCTCCCCTTTGCGGTTTTCAGCCTTAAAAACCCTTGTCTCTCCCCTCCTGGGCGCGCACCTCAGCATCTTGTGGGGGTGTCTGCCACTAGGTACCAGCTAAAATAAAGCACTTCTTTAACTTTTGGACTTGCCTCATTGTCATCTGATTTTTGAGTTACAACACCCTCCTGTCCCTCTGTTGGACAGGAGCTTTCTTTCTCTCAAGAAATATATTCTGCTCATAAGCCCTGCTTGTTCTTAAAATTCTTTCTTCAGTTTTAAAGAACATGATCTCGTCCCAGGTACCTTTTAGGTTGGGAGATCAGTTTTTCTCCCTGTGTCATTTGGAGGTTTCCCTGTATCCATGTACTCCTGGTGGAAATATAAAATGGTACAGATGCAGTGGAACCAAATTGGACATTTCCCTAAATGACTAAAGAGACCCAGCAATTTCCACTTCTCATTACAAACCTAGGAAAGATTAAAAACTTAACTTGTACAAAAACATGTGCATGGGTGTCCATAAAAGCTTTACTTCTGTAGTCAAAAAGTAGAACCAAACCAAATGCCCATCAGCAGATGAGTGGATAAACAAATATGGTATAGCCAGCCAGTGGAAGGCGACTCGGCTACCAAAATGAATGAGGTCCTGATCCGTTCCACAACATGGATTACCTTAAGGGCATTATCTAAATGAAAACGCAGACACAAAAGACCACAGATTATAGGACTTTGTACATTCCATGTCCCAAATAGGCAAGTCTGTAGGGCAGGAAGTAGATTGGTGTTTGATCAGAGCTAAGAGAAGGATGGGGGGGAGGGGCAGCTAAAATGAGTTTTTTTAAATTGAATTTTACTTGTTTTGAGGCAGTCTCATTAGGTAGTCAAGGCTTGCCTCAAACTCTCTGTTACCCCAGGCTGCTCTCAGACTTGTCCTCTGGATTCTCAGCCTCTAGAGTGCTAGGGTTACAGGCACAGCACCATGCCCGGCCTGACCTCCTGGGTCTCTTTCTTCTTTTCTCTCTTTCTCTTTCTGTCTCTGTCTCCCTCTCTCTCTCTCTCTCTCTCTCCCTTTCTTTCCTTCCTTTGTTCCTTTCCTTCCCTCCTCCCTCCCTCCCTCCTTCTTTCCTTCCTTCCTTCCTTCTTTTTTTTTTATGTACTTAGTACAGGGTCTACAGGGTCTCACTACACAGATCGACTCATAGTGATCCTCCTGTTTTCAGCCTCCCAAGCACTGGGATTACAGGCGTGCGCCACCATGCCCCCATGCCCAGGCTCAATCTTTGTCGCAGTGCGCCCTGGGGGTGGGGTTCGCATGGCACACTGGGGATAGAACTCTCTTTCTTTCTTTTCAGGGGACGAAAGTGCTCTAAAATTGTGGTAGTGATACAGAAGCCTGTGACTATACTAGAAACCACTGAATCAGAAACTTCAACTTAATGGATCATGAAAGCTGTTACCGAAACAATTTTACCTATTGTTAATCTTTGTATGCTCCTTGAGCATGTTTCCTGCTGATTTCTGTACTTGTTTCTTCTTTGGTGGTTGTCTAAGTCTGTTTTACGCCGCTATTACAGAGTATCTGGAGCTGGGTAATTTACAGGAAACAGAAGTGTACTGACTCATGGTTCTGGAGGCTAGAAGGCCAAACTCGAGGGACAGCTGGTCTACCTGCAGGGCATCTTCAAGCTGCACCACCTCATGGTGGAAGATGGAAAGAGAGAGTACAGGACAGTGAGAGAGAGGAGGCCAGACTCACTTGTAGACCGAGCCCCAGCTAGCCGCCCACTTGGCAGGACAGGGCCCCGCGACTAATCACCTCTCAGCACTGTTGCACTGGGGCTAAATGAACCAACACCTGAACTTGGGGGGAGCACATTGGAACTATAACACGGGGGGGGGGGGGCAGGGATAAAGCTCAGCGGCGCAGGGCCCGCCTGGCAAGCGAGAGGTCCTGGTCCAAACAAGCAAACACTGGGCGTCCTGGAGATGGAGAGACAATGAAATGCCTTGTAGGATAGAACATTGTGGAGCCAAAGGGAATACTGAACAACTAGGTTTCTTCATGGGTGTTCGGGCTGGGGGCTTTGAGTGGACAGCAGAGTAGCGTACTTAGTTTAAATTCCTGGTGCTGCCCGCCACGTGCTGAGTGGTACTGGGCACAGGCTGTATAATCTCTTGGTGCCTCAACTTCTTTATCTTCAGACTGATGACCTTCCTTATCCACTCTGCAGATAAGAATCTGATTCATGGGGTTGGCAGGCGTCGGTGTAAAGAACTTTGAAGAGTGCCTGGCGCATTGTAAACCAGCGCAAATTGTGAGCCGTAGGGCTGTTGTGGTTGTGACTGTTGTTAACATCCCTGAGCCTGGGGTGACTGAGGCCTGCAAGGAACTGTGCAGGCTCGGGAAGTGTCGGAGTTACTGATCTCTCCCTCCTGCAGCGGAGTCATGCCATCTATTAGCGGTTGTCTAGCCCAGCCAGTCACGGGAGTCATTTATATGCTGTGCAGCAATTAGCACATGGGTCAGAGCTGCCCTGGGGAAGGAATAAAAGGCAGTAAATTTAAATAAGGACTTGGGGACAGACCCCCAAGGGAGGGGCACTGAAGCAGGTGGAGCCAGGAGTGGAAGCTGCAGAGCCAGGTGGAGGGGCGGGACCTAGGCCACAGGTGTCCCCCACCCGCACAGCTCTGGGACCGAGACAGCTCTGGGGCAATGTAGGAGCTCCACCCCCAAGGTGCCTTGTTCTCTATACGTCGTTTAAAATAAAAAGGACGCTTCACTGCAAAACACGCGGATGGCATTGCCACAGAGCTCAACCTCCTACCACAATGGCACTTTGATTTTTTTTAATATCAAGTTCTTGTTTATTCATTTTGGTATTTTCGAGAGAGGGTCTTGCTATACAGTTCAGGCTGGTTTTGAACTTGTGACCCTCTTGCCTCAGCCTCCTGAGTGCTGGAATTACAGGTGTGTACCATGACTTGGTTATATCATTGCGCCTCTGCCTGGAGCAGCGCCCAACCCTAAGCTGAATGAAGATTTACTAAATGAGTGCATTACTGAATGAGCGACACTGCCCCCAACATGCACACTTCAACCAGTACCTGGGCCCAGGAGGCCAGCTCTGTGCCTGTCCCTGGCCTCTGTCCCCAGAACTCTTGCCCTGCCTCTGCCTCACAGTCAGGGCCTCTCACAATGACGGGCTTCAGTGAGATTCCAGGCAAGGGGAGGAACCTAAGCACACACTGAATTCGCACAGCGACTTCTTAGTCTAGAGCGAAGTATCTGTTGTGTGGCATGTACTTAGAGGTCAGAGTCAAGGGAAGGGGAGGCCAGCCCAAGTTGCCACTACCTCTGCCTGACCCTGCAAAAACCTAGGGTTTTCCTGGCTGCAAAGCCTCCTCCTGCTGCTGCTTGCCTATTATCCCGGGGACTCGTCCACAGAATGGCTAAGGAGTTCTCAAGACCATCTGGCTTGAAGGGAGCCAGCTCCTACCAGGCCAGCGTGGTCCGTGCAGGCAGCAACACACGGGTGGGGGACAGAGGACTTCAGAGACCTGCAACTCCTCACTTCCTGTCTTGATTACTCTTCTCTCGTTGCTGGGACAAAATACCTGATGGCCCAAATTAAGGAAGGAGAGGTTTATTTAGCTCACAGTTAGTGGAGGGTTCAGTTCATAGTTGACTCAGTCAGTTGAGCTATATCGTTGGCCCTTAGGCACACTTTCTAATTCTGGTAAGATGAAGATTAGGCTCTGAAATCAGGTGGACCTGAGTTCAAAACCCATCACTTCTGAGCTGTATATTTGCTGAGCTGTGTCATGGCCTGAAAAATGGCGATCCTACCTAGCTCAGAGGGCTGCAGCTCTCCTTATCACTGCTACAGAAAGTCCACCCCTGCTCCAGACTCTCCCTCTGTCCCTCTGCTCCCCTGTGCTCTTGAGAACGATGAGTTTTTAAGTTTGTCCCTAAGTCCTCTGCTTTGCATCTGAGTTCTCCAAACACTGCTCAAGCAAGCCTGAAGCAGATCCCAGACTTGCCCTCTAATGTCGGGCAACAGAATAGGAGTCCAGACTCGTGGGAGCGGGGAAGAGGGGCGCGCCCGGGGCGGGGGGGGAGTGGTTTTCAGAACCAATGTTCAACAGTGCAGCCTCGGGGAAGCGCCAGCAGAGAAGCTCGGTGACTTCAGAGACTTGTCTCTCTGTCACATCTTGGCATTCCTACTGTGGGGAGATGGCCAGGCTCAGGTTTGCCACCTCAGACTTCCTCTTATGAATTAGTAGGCCTGTATCACATAAAGCACAGGAGCACAGGGGACATGTCAACAGGTGATTTGTGTTACGTACCCATTCTATGCCTGGTTGGGGACTGGCCCGCTTTGTGGGCACTGCACAGAAGGGAGTGGGACTGTCCAGCGCTGCTCTCCGTGCCGCTGAGATAGCAAAGGCATGGGAGACCCCCACTCCCCCGTGGCTCTGCCTCTCTTCCTCAGCCTGCCCGAATCTCAAGTGAGCTCTCCCGGCTTACACCAGCTGCAGAACAGCCACCCAGGAGGAAAGGCAACTGTTCACTTCCCTTCCCGCAGAGGTTGATTTAAGCCCCAGGCAAGGCTTCTGTTGGCCGACGTGGGCCTGCGTGCCCTCCTCCACACTGTGCCCCAGGAAGTGAGGTCCTGTGAGTGCACAGCTCAGGCCAAGTAGCCACAGTATAACTGGCCACATCTGCTGGAACCGCATGGGTGGGTTGGGGGAAGTGATTGGCCTGTCACACTAAATGAAAAGCAAGGTTCTCAATGGATCGTTCCATTTATTCAGGAATATAATTGCAAAGGGAATCCATGTGCTACCATCAACTGTGGGTGTAATCAAACAGGTTGAGGCCAAGGGGATTACTTAAAGACAAACTGAAGATAACCGGGAGCAAGAACGCTTGCCCCACGACGATTAGTAACACAGGCAATGTCAGCCTGCGGCGGAACACACAGTCGCTGGCAAATGTCCCTGCAGAGGGATTTCCTGTGAAATGCTGAGGCAACCTTTGTGCAAGCCTGGGGTTCTGAAAGAATTTTTTGTTACCAGGCAATCATTTCT